GGAAAATATTTTCCACGTGTGTTGGATTCCATTGTGCTGCTGAGTGGCTCTCAGGCCCAACAACCTGTCTACTGTCATTCCCCACTGGTAGGGTGGGTAACCTGGACTCTGGGGTTAGCTTTGGCTCTGGGAGCACTGGCCGTGCAGGAAGAGCTGGAGCCAGGAGTAATAGATTTGGTGATGCTTCCTCTGTTCCCTCTGGAGCCAGAATGCAGTTCCCAGAATGCAGTGCAGCTTTCTCCACGGCCAATCTCTGCCTGTAGGTCACAGCGAGCGCTCATTGCCAGATCTGAAATCTGAGCTCTCAACACAGAGGGCACAAGGAATAGTTCTGTTCCCCATTGTTGAGCCTGGTCCCAGTTCAGGTTTCCAGAGCACACACTCACGGTTACAAGTTCAAAATTCACTTGCCACAAATATTCTCTAAAATTTACCATTCCTGTGAGCTCTCCTGTCCGGGGACATGTTTGCTAGAACATCAGTGGGACACGAATGCAAACAGGGGGTGAACACAGCCAGAGCCAGCTAGTCTTGACATTCACGTAGGTAGGTCCAGAGCATTGTTCAGTATTTGCCCAGCTCCAGCTCTGACCCTCTCATCCTGAACATCCCTGGGTGGAAAGGTGCGCGCCTCTGGTTTGATTTGCCCACGCTCTGGTCTAAACACAGGAGGAACCAGAGCAAACGGCTCCTATTTCTCCAGGGTAGTAGCAGCATTCACACCCTGACCGTTCCCCTGAGCACGCTGTGACTGCTACTGAAGAAGCTACCCAACCACCAGTGCAGCAAGGAGGCACTGCAAAGGCTGAGAACATTGCAAACCTAAAGGCAATTCTCCGCTCACCCTACTGCAGCAGGCGCCAGGTTTCCTAGCGTGCCATCCCGGTGTTAGCCCTGTGGATGGGTGCAGGAACCGCACTCAGCCCCGGCTGTCACGTTCATATTGGGGTACTGGGCTGGACAGGCCAGAAGGTTACACCCTTCGGCTAACGCTGAAGCCCTGGTAATGGAGGGCTGTCCCTCTCGGTGCCTTTGAGGCAGATTAGGAAGCAGAGGGGGGTCTTTCACCTCTGAGGTGCTGGCATGAACCAGGCCAGGTGGGAGCAGTTCCCATCTGCTGCTGGTCAGGGGCAGGTGTGGAAGATGATGGGGGGGGGTCTCAGCCCAGTCCTATTGGCTCTCACTCCATCTCAGAACAATTGGCACCTCGCTGGCAGGCTCTTGGAAAGAGCTGGAGGGCTCGGGGGTGGAGCCAGCGCTCGCCAGCCAGTGCAGATGGATGTTCAGGGAAGTCTTGCTGAAACTTTGGGGATTTCCCCCTTGGGTCGTTGCTGCAGCTCCAAGGAACATGAGTGGGGCTCATGGTCCCCTGGGGGAGAAGGAAAGGCCCCGCAGCAGGGGAAGGTAACACAATTATCTTCCAGTACCCACGACAATGCTTGCCAGCCCTGGGACACAGACAGTACCTCGTCCCCTTGCTGGCCCACCCAGAGCTACTGCAACCACCGCACTCCCACTCGGGTGGGCTCCTCACCAATAGCAAAGTTCGTTCAGGAGGTGGTTATAGGCCACGGCCAGGGAGCCGAGTAGGAGGCAGATGAGGATGCTAGCCACGAAAGAGGCCGGGCCAATGAGCAGGAAGAAGGCGTAGTCCTGGGCGTGCAGCAAGCTGTCCTGGCAGTGGCTGAAGGACTCGTTGCCAATGGCCAGGAGGGGATACTGGTTGAGGTGCTCTGGGAATCTGCACAGGATCAAATTCTCCTCTGCCAGAGAAAGACAGACACAAAGGTCAGGCTGGGTCATGGTTCCCAACCTGGCAGCAGCACATGGGAGGTGGCTTGGGCTCCTGCCTGGGCCGGAGGAGGGCTACAGCACTGGAAGGGAAGGGCAGCGTCAGGGAGAGTGGCTGGGCAGGGTGGGCCGGTGCTCAGAGCAGGCCAGCAGCCGCGGGGAAGACCTGCAGGCCGGCTGGGTGTGCTGGTGCTGGGCGAGGTCACGCAGGACAATCCAGCATTGGGACGATGGGGCAGGCTGTGGGCCATGACAGCAGCCCTGGGGTGGGACAGGATGGCAGCCCTCAGGAGGTGCGCAGGAGCAATTCCTAAGTGGCCAGGAGCAATTCCCCCCACCCCCCGCGCCTCGGTCTTCTCGTAGTGCAACGGGTGCCAGGTGAAATGTGCTGCGCAGAGCTGGGGTTAATTCTGTCAGCCCAACTGAGTGTCATGGAAACATCCTGCCCAGCCAGTGCGCAGGCCCAGGGCTCCCACCTCAACACGGCGGCACCGGGAGCGAGTCGGTGCCCATGGTGATACACACCAGGAAGTAAGTCAGGTGGCTGATGGGGGGGAGGCTGAACTGGCTCGTAGGCTGAGGAAGTGGGGCGGGACCTGGGGCAGACGCTCTCTGAGGGCTGGGGGTATGATACCCACACAGGCCAGTGGAGCTGGCAGGAGCCATGGGGCACTATCTGGTGCACACCCTGGGGCCCAGGGCAACTCCATAAACAGCCCTCCCATCCTCCCAGCCCAGGCCGCACTGGCCTCCCCTTTTCTTAGTGGACTGGGGGACAGAGAGGGGCCAACCTGAAACTCCCTGGAGGGGTTCAATGCACAGAGGCCAGGCAAAAGGCCTGGCACCAGCTGGCACTCGTTACCCCAGCCAGGCCGTCAGAGAGCTAAAGCGGGGCACCCTGCTGCCTGGATGGAGAACCCCAGCCAAGTGCTGCATCTGGCCCTTGCGATCCTGAGCACACAGGGACTGTGCAGGCCCTGTGGCTGGGAGACGTCCAGAGCGGAGCGCAGGGCCCAGGGAAGGAAGGGCTGGAGCACAGGGCAGCTCTGGTGGTGCCCCACAGCTACAGCCTCCCTGGCACCAACACTGCTCCCAGCAAGGGGCTGGCCCCTCACCATTCCCAAACTCCTGTCCTTAGCTGGGGCTGGGGCTGGTCCTGGGACGCCCCTCGGCGCCCATGGCAGGAGGGCCTGTCCAAAACCAGGGGCCAGAGGGTCCTGCCCATGTGGAGCTCCCTTCCCTCAGCCCCACTGTCCTTGACTCCCCTTTTACCCAGGCTCTGCGGCACACGGGCTGACTCCTCGCGGCCTTGCCCAGGCTTCGCCCGCGACATCAGTGAGCAGGCTGGGCCGCAGCGGGGGTCAGGCCCTGGCCCTCACTCCCTGCTCACTGTGTCCTGCCGGCCCAGGCCTGCTCCTAGTGAGTTGTCACTGCCCCTGCAGAGCAGGGGCTGCCCAATCCCAGGCCGGAGGCTTCGTTCAGAGCGGGGCTGTCACCCGAGGAATTCGTGTGTGACCAGCATCGTGGTGGAACCTGCAGCCACATGCCCTGCGGAACCCAAACCCGCCTGATTCAAGGGGAGGAGCCCCTAGGGAGCCTCAGGTCTACAGACCCTGCCTCTGGCTGAGAGGATGGAATAGATCTGCTGCCGTCAGTGCACGAGAGTCACTCGAGGCTCCCTTCCCCCAGCCTGGCCAGCCCTGGGAGTGAGGGAGTCGAGTGGGGCTGGCTGGAAAACGAGAACTCTGCGGGGAAGGAAAGAAGGGAAAGAAGGGAAAGGAGACCTCGTACAACCGGAGACCCTGAAATAGGCCCGTGGTTGGGCTGTGCCTGACTCGGGGCCAGGCCGTCAGCCTGGCTCCCCCAGCAGGCTACGAGTTCATAGCACACGCTCTCTCTGGCCCAATGGCCACTGCATTATTTCTACCAAGTGGAACAACTTCAAACAGGAGAGATTGAGAGACCCATTGTGTGGCCCAGTGGCCAGGGCCCTCCCCCAAGATACAGGAGTGGTGGGGCTGGGCCCGGCCTCTGAGAACGGTCTGTCAGAATCAAGAGGGGTCAGTGAAAAGGGAGCCGGATTGTCCAAGGAAGAAAAGGTTTCATTGAAAAATTCCTGCCCGGCTCTAGGCTCGACTCTGCCCTCCGTGCTGCTGCGTTGCCCCTCCATTCTTACCTTGGATTTTGTCCCCGTTGCCCATAAGCCAGAGGAAGAGGGGCTGGATTTCACAGGTGCACGCCCACGGGTTGCCCTGCAGCGTCAGGGAGCGCAAGGCCGGCAGGTTCAGAAAGACGCCGGCATGCAGTGACCTCAGGGCGTTGCTGTGCAGAAAGAGCTCCTGCAAGCAGGGCAGTGCTTCCAGCACCTCTGGGGGCAGCTGGCCAAGCTTGTTGGCCCCCACGTTGAGAGTCACTAAGCCTGGGAGAGGCAGGACAGTCTCGGCCGGGAGCACGGTGAGGTAGTTGTTGCTCAGGTCCAGCTCCCGCAGCGCCCCGAGCCCTGCCAAGGCCTGGCTGTGGATGCTCACCAGGACGTTGCTACGCAGGCTGAGGTTCTGCAGCGCCTGCTGCGAGCGGAAGGAGCGAGCCGCGAGGACTGCGATGTGGTTGTAACCCAGCCACAGGGCACTGGCATTGGTGGGCAGGTTTTCGGGCACACTGCGCAAGGCTCGGTAACTGCAGTCCACTTCCCCAGAGGAGCATCTGCAGACGGCAGGGCAGCAGGGGGAGGGGAGCGGGCACAGGAGGAGAAAGGCCAGGAGAGTGGCCGGGCCCCTCCAGCCAGCCATGCTTAGCTGCCAAGAGAACCACTCAGCTCCCGTTCCCCCAAGTCCTCCAGTGCCTGGACACACCCAGCCTTCCTGGTCCGGCTCAGCAGCCCGCACAGGCTGGCTCTGCGGGGCCGGGGCAGCCGGCAGTGCGGGCGCCAGGCTGGGGGCCCGCAGTGCCTTGCACAGGTCTCGGACACCCTGCAGATCTTCTGGCACTTTCATCCCCCTGCCGAGTGCAGCCTCACCTGCGCTCTGCAAACATTCACCTGGCTGCTCAAAGGCCAGCGGCTCTCCCCTGTGCGGTTTCTTCAGGGCGGAGCTGCACTTCCTTAGCAAATATTTTCACAGAGCAGACGCTGCTGCCAAGATGCAGAGCCAGGGTCCCCCTCCCCCACCCCACAGGAGACTGCTCCAGGCCAGGTAGTGCCGCAGTGCCATACACAATCACCTTAAGGCCACACCCTTGGGGGGCTGGCCAGATCCCCTGCACCCAGCCCATGCTCAGGCCTCTTACAGGGCTTGGGCTGCACTGCCCACCCCAGCTCTCGCTGCTCTCCTCGGCCACTGGGCCCGGTCCCTCCGCCCACTCCTGGACCCTCCCCCTTCTCCCCTTGGCAGCTCTGATCCAGGAGCCTGGAGCTGGGGCACTGGATCCCCCACCTCCTGGGTGAGTGCTCTAACCAGCAGGCGGCACAACCCCTCCCCCCCCGGCTTGTGCCCTCGCTCGCACTCTCACTCTCTCCGTCGCTTGGGCCAGAAAGAGAGGCCACGAGCCTGAGAATGGCTCTGTAGCCTAGTGGTCAGAGCACGCACCCAGCTCACGGGAGAGCCAGGATCGAGTCCCCCTGCTCCACTGACTGGTTCATTAATTGTCCACAGTGCAACCACTTCACCAGGAGAGACTGAGGGCGCCCCACACTGCACTAGGCCAGAGCCCAGTGGCTAGCGCACTCCCCAGAGAGGTGGCAGGCCCCTGATCAATTTCCCCTCTCCCCGTTAGGCAGAGGGGGTCTCCCACACCCCAGGGCTCAAAGCTGTAAGGCCAGTCCTCCTGCCTGCCAGATGGGGCCCCCAGCCGAGCACTCCTCGTCCCTGGTTTGGGACTCGCTCCAGTGGGAGATAGGCACCAGCTGCTCCCTGTTTGCAGAGGAGACACATCAGAGCAAGGGCGCGAGACCTGCACAGACACAGGCGCCGAGGGGGGTTAGGTGCTTGCAGAGTTTCAGCAGGAGTTTTGTGCATCGCAGTGGTGCCAAACCCAGACTTAGATGCCTAACTCCTTTTATGCACTCCGGCCCTTCTGCCTTCCCCTCCTTCTGGGAGCCCCCCAGCTCTCCAGGCTCCAGCAGTGCTGCTGCTCAGCCTCAGGGCAGGGCTCTGAGCCCCACCTGGAGAGATCCGGGACGGGAGGGGAGGAGCTTGGTGCTCAGCAGTGTACGTGTGCCAGCCAAGGGCTGGGGCTGCATCCTGAAACCGGCACTTTCTTGGTCTGAAATTCTTTTGAATCTGGCTGAAAAGTTTGATTAGCCCCTTGGTGCAGCATCTCCTGTTCCTCACCTCAAGGGCTGAGGTGCCTCCCACCCTGCTCTTCCCCACACCCTGGCTCCTGGGCCCTGGTCTCACTGGAGCTGACAGAAGGCTGGGCTGGGACCACTGCACCTGCAGCTGGTGCACCTGGGTGAGGTGACGGGCCCCTGCCAGGCTGGTGCATGGAAACTGTCTCCCTGGAGTGCTCCTAGTCTGTCCCTTTAATGCTCTCACTAGTGAGTCAGGGATGATGCTGAGTCCTGCTAAGAGGCTGCTCCCCAGGGCCCAGATCTGCTCAGCTGGGAGTGGGCTCCTAGTTCACGCAGCTGAATTCTCAGTTGGCTGCGAGTTGCTGGCCCCGCCCCACTCACAGACCACAGCAATGGGATGGTTGGGAACATTACATTGACCCCCTTCCCCCAGCACGTTTACAACAAAACGGCAGCACAAAACCGAATGGGAAAGGGAAGAACCGGGGGAACCTTTGAAAGACGAGCACTGGGCCGCCCTTTCCCAGCATTCCCTGAGGCACTGATTGCTCAGGGGAATTCGCTGTGGTAGATGATTTTAGATGCATTCGTTTGATCACGCTCGTCCTCCGAGGTGAGGTTGAGGGACTGCGACACTTTGAACTGCACCATGGATACCACAGCCAGCTCCTCGGGGTCCAGGAGGCCCAGGCTGGAGTCTGGAAGGAAAGGAAAGAGCAGATGGGATGATAGGAGCTGCTCCCAGATTGGAAGTGCTCCAAACCTCCCTGCAGAGCACAGCAGGCCCAGCAGAGGGGCAGCTGGGCTCCAGATGCCTCTTCCAGGGTCCAGGGGAGCAGGAGACGCTGCTCCAGACAACAGCCTCCAACTACTGGAAATTCAAAGGAGCCTGTGACACCAGGCAGCTGCCCTGGGAGTTCCAAAGCCATCCTGTGCGGCCCAGAACCTGGCGAACAGGTCCTAGCAAGGGACTGAGTACAGCCTATTCCTGCCACTGGCTGCTGCTGCCACGTCCAGCACAACAGGCCCAGAGGAGTCCCTGTCCCTGGAGAAGACTTGGGTGTAGCTATGCTGGGGCCTGCTCTACTGTCCAGATCCCGGGCTAAGAGCAAACTCAGGGTTCTTCCTGCCACCAGTAGCCCTAGCTCCCACAGCCATCGTGGCCGACTTGTGCTGGCCAGCATGGCCGATGCCTGGGGAGAGCTGGTGGCTGCGCGGCCCCTGTATGCTCACAGGAAGTGCCGGAGACCCAGAATCCAGGCCCTGGAGTCAGGAGGCTCAGGATTGGGTGGAAGTCCCTGCAGCATTGGAGACCAC